AGCCCTGATCGAACGATCCTGTTCAGCCATGATGACAGGCTCGATGACGCGCGGTGGTGGTGTAGGTGGTGTAGGGATGACAGGTGGTGTCACCTGCCTTCTCGGTTGACGATTCTGAGTTAGGGAAGGCCTAGGAGTTGTGGATGTGGTAGGCTGCTTCCCTAACTTGACCTGCTTCCTGTTCTGTCGGCAGGTCCTCTCGATCTCGGGATCTGGTGGCAGTAAATTGCCAGTCCCCGGATCAAAATTCACCTACACACTAACACCCAGATCAAAATAGTTCACTCACAAAAATCAATAAAAATAAGATATGGCAGTCCCCGGCAACGGCGCCAAAAACTTGATAGGGCAAAAGCGTATAGCTTCAATTCCTATCTTGTAGTAAAATAAATAAGATTTTATATGGTATGATTTTATATGGTATTTACGAAGAAAAGAAAATAAATAAGAAGAAGAAAAATAAGAACAAACATAGTCAAACAGATAGCATGACCGAAAGAATATTGCAGCTTAGAGGTCGGTATATCAGTCGCTTGGCTGTGCATATGAATCGTCGATGAGCAGCGACAGGTAGCAATGCTCACTAACAAGAGTGAAAACAAAAAAAAAATAGTGAAATAAAGAGTTTGGCGTTAGAGAAAGAAAGCACTTAAATCGGGATAAGGCATTGATTATATTCATGTCTGCCCCGTTTTACACGTGGGGCGGGTCTAGAACGGGTTAGATTTAACCTGCCCCATTGCAAGATAGGGTTTGAAAAATCCATTAGTGTGGGTCTAAATTTTCAACACTAATGATGGACTCCCAAAGTCTTCGACTTCTGACTTCGAAAAACCTTCTTCTCCTCACTGCCACCGCCAAGGCAGAAGATAACATCATTAACTGATAGGGCAAAAGCGTATAGCTTCAATTCCTATCTTGTAGTAAAACCGGAAAGTCCGGGTATCGTCTCTCAGGGACTGGTACAACCTTAAGATTTACCGATTTAATAGAGCAAACTATAGGTGAAAATGGTTTAATGAGATTATTAACTACTAGCAAAATTAACTAAACAAGAAAATTAAAGTGTCGGGTTTAAATCAATGGGAGAAAGCTCTGGGAGAAACACCGGGATTCACTACCTATCCGATCCAGATTAATTCACATGTTCCAATCAATTTAATCCATATCTCTACGGCCAGGATATCACGAATGTGCTAGCTATCCCTGTCGGGAATTACTATGTACTAAACAATCAATTCAAATCCTACTGTCGTAGCTCAATGAATTAACTATATAGCCTGAAGAACGATATCCTATTTAAGACCGCATAGCACCTTATTTAATCCATTGTCGCTTCGATAAGTTACTATGTCACATGAAACAGGTTCAGTTAATAGGGTTTCACTGTCGCTAATAACCTAATCAACTACGATTCATTGTATTGGTGGCCAGTCAACACAAAGCATTAAGTAATTTCATGCAATAGAGATTGGAAGAAAAGAATCATAAATCAATCCATCAAATCAAGAAATAGCTACATCCTATGGTGTTTCCCCCAGAAATTGGGGTTTAGTTCATGATGAAATTGAGATAAGTCGATAGGGTTTTGTTCATCATGTTCTAAAACAACAAGAAACAACTAAGTAGGTTTAGAAAATCCAACCAACTAATCGCTCTCGTTGAATTCGGCTCAACCTTGAACAGCTCGATCGCCAATCGCCGCTCGATGCTTGGACAAGCTTCGCTGCGCTGCTTCGTTTCTTTTTTGCTTACGCTTAATTGCCTCTGTCCCCAAAGAATTAAAGTCCACCCGCCGCCAGCTGCTTCTTTTTTTCTCTCCACCTGTTGCCGTGTCCAATTAATATTCCGCCCAGAGATTGCTTCCCTTCCGTCCAGAGATTGTCCAAATTAAAAGTCTCCCCCAAATATTTGTTTCCACGTCCAAAAAATTGCCAAGCCTTCCAATTCTCTAATTCCCCCGTCCAAGCCATTTCGTCCAGGCCCAAAAGAATTTCCGGCCCACAAAAGTCCAATCGCAGTTCAACTCCTCAGTAAGTTCCGGTCCAATGTACATCCAGTCCACTTGAATTATTCTATCCACCAATGCAAATTTTTCGTTTCATTTACCTGAAATATATAAAATATTTGGCACTTGATGGTAATGGTTTTATAACCATTCCAGGCTTAGTTGGACCTCAAACAAGTATTACAGGTCTCAAACATATCATGAAATAATCACATTAAGCACGTAAAATCAATATGTTTTCGACAATTATCATTAACCTTGGTGAATACAGTTTTGAGACAGAGGTCGGCAAAGATCGCGATACCCTCGTCGAATTCTATGCTCCTTGGTAATTAAAAAATTTTGTTATAATTTCTTTGTTGGTTGGTTATGTTTCCTTATTCCTATTGTATCTCTTTCATCTTCGTATATAGATAGAACTCTTAGCTTTCTATTGGTCATGCTTCAATTTTTGGTTATTTGAAATTTGGGTTTGAACTAATTAACTTTGAGGTGATTACATTAGTCTCATATTCTTTGCCTCCTTTGTTTTACTTGGTTCAACATCCTTTTTCTTTGCCTTTTAACTTTAATTGATTATGTGTCTCGCTCCTGGTCGGGTTTCTGGAGCTGTATTATTGTTATTCAACAAATAAGGTTATGCAACTTCAATTGCCAGTATGTCAAAATTATACAGTCCCTTGGTGGACTTTTTCGGTAATTAGAGGTTATCCACTAAGCATTTTGTTGGCCAAGGCAGCACAAGAGTGAAAAAATACAAGACAATGCACTGCCAACCATCATTTCCTTAGAAGAAAAAGGAAAACAAAGGACTCTAAACTAAGTCAAGGAACTTACTACAACTAGACAACTTAAAGTGGTTACGTGTAAAAATCAGCATTTGCACAGCTATATAATTGCACCTCCTCCCTCAGCATAATGGCTAGAGCATCCAAAGAATGAAGACTCTCATCAAAGACACGTCTATACCTCTCTCAGATGAAACTAACACACCACCACCAAAGAGAGCATTCAATCAATCCACTGTTGTCGCCTCGCTTCAGAGCTTTGTTGCACATAAGCTCCATCATATCGTCCCATGAATCGTGCATTAGTACTGCTGCTTTCAGAACTGCAGAAACAAAATCCTTGGCTAAACTTCGTTCACAAAACAAATATTGCATAGTTTCACTTACCCAGTCACATAACACACATGTAGCTACCTTAAGCATTCCCTAGTTTTTCAGTTTGTCCCTAGTGGTTATTCTGTCAAGGATAACAACCATGATAGAAATATGTTCCTAGGTCAATTAAACTTTCCCCAGAGGATCTTCCACCATATGACCACTGGCTTCTTCATTCTAATAGAATCCCAAATAGTTTAAATTAAAAAGTTAAAAAGCTTCTTGCCATGCCAAGTGATGCAACCTCCATTATCAATGTCCATTCTGTATCTCAAATAGGGTATGATCTTTAGTAGTTGTTTCCATATCTATGACCCGAGGACGTGATTTTGACTTCCCAAATTGAGGCATCTTTAAGTCTGTAGCGGTATATCCAGCCACCAAGAAACTACTCCCCTCACATGAGCAACAACTAGATGAGCCTTGCAACACACATAGCATTTCACGACAGCAAGTCTTTTAATCCCTGACCTACTTTCCTTTTGGTAAGGCAAGGGTCTCCAATTATACCTTTGCTTTTCCGGAACCATCCCTAAACCAGGAAAAAAATCCGAGAAAAATCTTCTGATTAGACTTCATAACCTTCTTATGAATGATAAATATACTCATCTGGTAATGAATATGAGTAAAGAATTTATTCCACCAGTTGAAGCTTTCTAGTATATGATAGTTTATGTGCTCTCTAGCTTCTTACTCGACTAGTAAGTTTATCAACCAAGACTACAAGCTCATTACTAGACAACTTATACAGACCAGAGGAAGTCAAAAATAATGAACAAGAAGGTGTGTTCTTGAAAACCATAAACTTGCAAAGCATTATACTTAAATTGTTGAGGCATTCCACCAAAAAAGACCTCTCATTTACCAGGATTGCATTGCAAATCGGAAAGCTTGTAAAATTCATTCATAATTCTCCTGACCCCATTTAAAGCAAATGTTGAACCTTCTATGAAGATCAGGATATCAACAACAAAGTTTAAATTAGTAAGTCTCGGCTGATTATAGAGAGCAGTTTCGTTCAACAACCCTATGAGTGGCTCCATGGCAATTGTAAATATACAGGAGGGGATAAACGATCCCCTACCAAACACCCTTGGTAGCTCCAAAAAAACCAAACAAACTATTATTCTCTAAAATGCTGAAGTATGCAAAATCCAAACAAGGGAATATCCAATCAAGAAAAAGCTTAGGAAATCCAATCGTCTTCATCACACAACTCAAATACTCTCAGTGCACAGAATCAAATTCCTTTTTTAAGTCCACTTTCACTGCACTTTTAGATGGAATCATCTTTCGATTATAATTAGAAAAATTTCTTGGGCCATGAGAATATTTTGAAGGATACATATGCCTTGTATGAATGTCGATTGGTTTCTACTGATAATCGAGGGCACAACCTTCTTCAGCCTATTATCTAAAACCTTTAAAATGATTTTCTAAATTATATAGCAATCTATAGGTCTAAAAACATTTAGTATATCAGCATTTGGAACCTTAGGAACAAGATTCAAGAAGTCGCATTCATACCTCTTGGTTTAAACTTCTCCAGGAAATATTTTTGACACCAACAATAGTATCTGGACCAACAACATCCCACCACCTCAGATAGAACCCTATTTTCCATCCATCCGGTCCAATAGCTTTAGAACCATACATTTTAAACAAAACTTCTTTAACCTCCTAATCGAAGACTGCCCCACAAAGAGACTGTTGATCTTCATGAGTAAAGCTTCCCAATAAAAAGACCTCAATGATATTACCATCCACCTTAACTTCCTTGTTCACTGTGCCAAATAAGTCCATATAGAACTTAATAGCCTCATTAGCACTATCCTGAACTTTTGTCATCCACTTTGAGCAATAAGTTTTCTAATTTGCTTCCTAGCAATTAGAATTTGAGCAAAATTATGGAAATAATAAGAATTATTGTCACCCAATGCTAACCATCTAATAAAAGAAATTTGCCTAAGAAATCCTCTTTCTTTTTCAATCGGATGTAAGCTTGAGTCACTTCGTTAAATTATGCGAAGAGTTCCAGAGAAGGGCTTTGCAAAGCATCTTTGTTCAATTTCATGAGTTCCCCTTTCAATGAGTACTTTTTATGTTTTACACCTAGGAGTCAATCCCTGATACTCTATGCTGCCAACTATCCTTTAGACTTAAGTTAAACTGTTGACTAGGACTTTAGGAAAGAGCAAAATGCCATAGTGGTTCGAGAAATATGGAGCCAAGATTTCAACCACACTATCAGAAAATTGACGAATGCAATCCACATTCACCATAAGTCTATCAAGCTTCCAGTTAATTGGATTACCTTGTTGCTGGTTAGCCCGAGTAAAAATGGGTCTAGTAGCCTTGGGATCCAAAATCTCCATCTTCTCAACACATTCTCTAAATCAATCATGCTCCCTAATATAGAAACCTTATTTGATGCCTTGGTAGTATCCAAAATAGCAATAAAATCTGCCCTAAAACCCAAGGGAACCCCTGTACCTTCCATTTGCTCAACTATTTAAATGCACATGATGTCTCATTCTCTTCATTAGAGCAATAAACTACCGTATAGAAGAATTGTTCTCCTTACTTTAAAGAGATAATAGAATGAATGAAATTCTCCTCCACAACTAGCACTTGTAGCTTGACTTTATCATTCTACGCAAGCCAAATTCTTCCAAAGCACTTGTTTCTTGTGTTTATTTCTTTGAAATTTTGGGTTGTAAATGTGATGCCATACTCTCTTCATGCCTATTTTGATCCATCCTCGACCATTCCTTTGCTCATTTTCAACTGTAGATCAACTTATTTTTTTTCATACTAAAACTCTACAGATTGACTTTCCCTTTGTCATGCCCCGAACTATGTTTTATAGCCCCCGTTTTCACCTTTGAACTCACTGGTTTTCCCAAGTGTGGGGGAACTTTTCCCTTTTTAATTTTGAGATCCTTCTGGCATTTCCAAAAATTATCTTTTGGTTTGTTTTGAATATTTTTCTGGAGTGTTGATTGTATCTCATTTTTGCAGGAGAAAAGATAAGGTGAAGGGTATTGAGTCGGGACGGAGCTCGAACCCACCTCCTAGAGCTAGTTTTGGTATCTTCTAGTATGCCACACATACTTGGCATAGGTTTAGCCGAGATACAACAGAGGAGAGGGATGAACGAACAATGGAGCCTTAGGTGGTACAGGAGGAACACCCGCACAGGATTCTGAGTCCCAAGCAGAAGAGGTTGAACAACAACCTCAGGGTCACTAGAGGAGATGCCCCACATTGATCATTCGTTCCTCCAGGCTGTCCCATTCCTCGACCGGGAGCGTCTTCAATGATACTAGATCATGGAGACCGGGGAGAGCGAATGCCTCAACTAGTTGATATTTCCCCAATTTGGAGTGGAGGGTTTGATCTGCCTAAGATCTTGGATCTAGTATGGCTCAGAATTTTTGAGATCAATGAAAGGATCTACCGAGTTCTCACCCTAGAGTTCTTGAGTATGCTGCGGATTTTGAAGATCAAGGGATCTGCTGCTGAGGACAGTCTCCAGATTCACTTCCATCTGGGAGGAGTAAAGCGAGAGATTTTGGTGAGCGAGTTTACTTTAGATCTTGATATCTACCCTCCGAGATTCAATCAAGAACACTACCCTCGTGATTGCCCTCCAATAAAGTTGGCTTGCTAAAACTGTAGTGAGGCCTCAATCATAGACTTACACTCCTCCATATTGTGACTCGACTCACCTCACCAATGATATTTCACGTGTTACTTTTCATTGCCTTTCATAGATGACGCAAATTGATCAATTTTCTTCGAGATTTCTTGTATATGAGCTGCTAACAAAGATAGTTCTTCAATCTTTAATAAACTTATGTTCTTCACATTCTTACCTCTTCTTCTGTCACCCCAATAGTAGCTATTTAGAGCCATCTCTTCAATTAGTCTTTGAAGTTCACCAACTTCCTTGTTCCTGATGGCACCTCCACTAGCCGCATCGATGAGGCTCCATGACTCCCTTGTCAAATAGTTATAAAATCTTTCCACTTGTAACAGATCGACGATGCCTTGGTGTGGACATTTGAGTAGAAGTGATGTAAACATTTCTCATGCTTCAAACAATGTCTCATCTTCTTCTTGACGAATCATAGTAATCTCTCTTCTCATTAAGGCCTTCATAGTAATCTCTCTTGTCACATAGATCCGCCCACGAGGTGATGTAGTGATGGGGATGGTTATTCAACCATAGCTTTGTCGGATTGCCTATTGAGGAACCTTGTTTATATTAATTCCATCTGTCAACTCATAGAACGACTTGATATGTGTGTGGGCGTCTTCAATCATCATCCCATTGAATTGAACTGCACTTTGAAGCATCAAAATTGTGCTCGACTTTATCTCATAGTTGTTGTCCGACATCGATGGGTGAAGAATAGGGATTGAACACTATCCATACTTGGCCTTGAATAAGTTCCCATTGTTCTAGACCTTGGTAGAATTGAGGTTGATGTTGTTGGTCCTCCATTGGAGGAGGTTGATGTCTCGCAAATCTTCTTAGATTCCGAAGGGTTCTCTCGATTTATGTATCAAGATGTAATATCTCTAAAGAATCCCTTCCTCGCATACAAGAGTGCTACAAGATACAAACTCAACAACCCGTAACATACAATGTTGGATAACAAAACTCAAAACTCAAACTACTAAAATATTATAAATACAAACAAAGAAAATAAAGACTAAACTAACAACTCGACGGTTTTCTACTAGTTACCGAGGTTCCCCGACAAAGGCGCCAAAAAGCTTGATCGATTCATTTCGTGCAGGTCATTGTCATTAGTTTGTGTATCAATAACTAACCCATTATATTCCAAGTTTAACCTAAAATGCCATTTTCATGTAGTGGCAATCAATGTCATATTCACTTAGGTGCCAGTACTCTAGCCTACTTCTCACATTGTTGTTATCTAGCCAATCGGTTTAAGTGTTGTGTTGGGGGATTCAAGTGAAATAACTAGTAGAGAGAATAAACAAGGATAAAAGTAGGTACATCGGGTAACTATCCCTTTTCCTAGCCTAGGTCTATCATGCAAATGTCAAGACATGTTGGGTTAAGTGAATGTGGTGAGTGAGCTCTTTTTTGTGGGCCTTCATGATTATCCACATGCCTCCGAGTACGCCCTGTCTACCTCATTTTCACCTCGGTATAGGCTCACGTATCTGGGGTTTAAGAACTTTGCTCCTTCAATGGGTACTACCCACCGTCCACACCAAGGTTTCATCCTGGGTTCCATCTAGGAAGGCATTATCGTGGCAAGGATTCGGTCACCTCATCCACCACAAGACCCTATTCATTCATCTAACCCTAATTTCCAAGATGGCACATACCCGTCTAACCATAAAACTCCATACCCAGCGTAGAAGCTCGAGTAGGCTAGTAGAGAAGTTATGGTCACTTAGCCAAGCAAAATTTAAGATAGAGAAGCATTAAAATCAACTAGAAAAACACATTCATTCAAAAACCTAACATAGTAATTCATTATAATATCCCTAAAACTAGAGTTTGGGGTTTAGAACCCCTAGTACCTTAAGAGATTACTCCATAAAGGAGGGAAGAAGATGCATAGAATAATTTGGGGAAGGATTGATGTTGAAGAAGATGGCTCCTATCCTTTAGCTTCTCCTCCTTCTCCTCTTCTCCTTCCTTCAACTTCTCTCTCTCTAAACCAGAATTTCTATCTCCAAATAAGCTCTCTTAAAATGGGGGAAGGGGTCCTATATTTATAGACTCTAGGAGGATATACAAGTTCACAGGCGAGCAGGGGGAGATCGCGGTTGTGATCTTTTCCTTCGAGACCGCGATCTTCAGGTGTCCCTGTTTTGGTCTTCATCTTTTGGGAGTTCGCGGGACAACTTCGCGGTTGTGATCTGTGAATCGCGGCCTCGAACTTCCTCATGGTTAGGTAAGGCGATGACCGTGATCCGACCATCGAAAGTTTATGTCTTCTCTTGGGTGGCTTCCTCACGAAGTTCGCGCCCAAGGGCTCTAAGTTTGCAACCACGAACTATGGTCCTCGGGTCGCAATCTTCTCTTCTGCTTCACAATATGATGTCTTGGCCGAGTTCTTCCACGCCATGCTGTGATCTTCAGTTTCCTGCCATATTGCTACACTTGTGCCCTTTTCGTACCTAATTCACATATATCGTCTAAAGCACACTAAAATCACGACATAATCAAATAGGAACGAAATAGAGATGCAATTGATGATATTCTTCTGATTATGCACATGAATTAGCAGGAAAAAACCTAAATATGAAGGGTAAATAACACCAATTTAGGTGGGTGATTCTGATGAGGAGGAAGCAGATGTTGTCTATACCTCTTATTCCATTTTTGGCACCGTAGGAGAAATTTCTATATATATTTTCCCATTCCTAGTACAGGCTTATGACAATTTCATTTTCAGCACTTTATCTCTTAAGTACTTTGGATATTGAGTTTTGCATCTGTTTATTTTCGTAGTTGCTACTATTTTTTATTTTCATTTTAAGTTGAAGTACGCTTTAGACCATTTCTCTCAATAACACCAATGTCTTCTCCAGTGTGTTTGTGATGTTCCCTTTTAGATCAAATAAGACCTACAAATTGAGATACAATGTTCTCCCACAACTACGTCACCTCCTAATGGTAAATTTGTGAACCTAACCTAGAATTCCTACATTGAGGACAATGTGTCTCTCAAGTGTGGGGGGAATGCATTGCATATTTTTCAATGAGTTCATGTTTGTCACCAAATCAATTAGTAACTTCCCTTGATGATGAATGTAAAATGTTTATGTTGCTTGTCGGAAGGTGATCGATTGTTTGAATAGGTTGTTGTAGTTAAAAGGTGCATATGACTAGCTTGGAACGTTATTGTATAATCGAATGTTTTTCAAATTTGAGGGTTCCAAATAAGCCCATTCGCATTTTTTCATGATCACTTCCTTTCAATCGTTGAATCTTTGTTTCTTTTCTTCGACCAATGTTAAGAACCATAGTGCGTGTTTTTCTTGGGGAGATAAATTTTTGCTTTATCCTTTGGCATTCCTGGATTGAATATTTGAAAAGTGACCATGGGAGTGGTTTGCATTTGAGCGAACCTTAATTGGTTAGGCCATTGGAAAGGTGTTTGGTTCTATGCTTTCTCACAACCTGCGTACTATGAATAAAAGTGGGGTGTAGCGTCTATTGGAACAAGTTGTGGCAACCAGTTCTAGAGTATCGGGAGTGCCTTTTGGGACAATGTACATGGGAGACCGGATAGCTTTACTGCATCCATTTTCATCTCTTCACCAGTTCCAACCTCCCATATGTTCCCTCATGGGCTGAGGTATTGGTAGGAGAAGTACTCTACTTGCCCAACTAACAAGCACACAATAATAAGTGCCGTACAAGTGCACATTCTCATCAAAAACATGAAAGGCTACCCGAATAAATAAAATCCCCCGAAGCGTCAATCTAAAATTAATTAAGTTGTTGAGAACGTGTAGAAAAGAATTGTGTGAGCCTCATTCCTTTTATATAACTTTGAGAGTTTTTTTTACAGCTTGTGTCTGTCTTCTTTCATTTTGAAACATGTTTTCCAGGTCTCGCCGAATCGATCCAAGTAAGGGTGGAGGTAGCCAAGCAAAACTAGTCACTAGTTCCCTGACTCCAATGACTAGTTCCTAACTACACAATTACTTCCTGACTAAAGCCCATGTGCAAACTTTAGAAGGATGTCGTATAGGGAAATCGTTTTAATTTTCAACCCGAGTCGGTTCATCTAATCCTATTTCAATCATTTAAATTGTTATCTAGCTAACGGTTTGGAGTTTAAAAGATAAAGAACTACAATTGTAATTAGGAAAAACGGTAAATTGAGGTTGTTTCAATGAGAGAAGAATTCAGCCGGGTATTTTTTCCCCCTAGCTGTGTACCAAGATTGACCGAATGGAATGCAAATGTGTAAAGGTGTGCTCATAGACCGTGATTGGGTTGCAACAAGTGGAGAAACTCCACTCCCTTAGACGATAGGCCAAGGAATATCGAATTAAGCTAAGAAACTAGCTCTCTTGGCCAATTGACTAAGGGTTGTTAAGACTACTCCTTCAAAACTTAATCTTGATGGCGAAATAAAGACCAATCATGGCAGATTCATGGAGCTAAATCAAGATTTTAGATTTCCCTCAATTTCCCTCGGTGGGTGACCCAAACGGTCAAGAAATCCAACTCCTCAAAGCCTCTTAACATGGGGATTCCCACCACCTAGGACAATTTGAACTAATTATGAGAAATAAAGAACACAACTTAAGCATTTTGAAAATAGCTCAAACTTTGAATTAAACATAAACCCACACACGTAGCATTCAATCCATACAATCTATCACATCTTTAAGGCTAGGGTTCACATACCCAAGTGAGAAGGAGAACTACTCCATAGCTAGACTAGGGATTACAATTGACTTGTCCGCGAGGTGTGCAAATGATCCTGTAAGTTTTCGAGCTTCACCATCACTGGCAAATATTCACAGTCTTCAGTCCGTGAGAATCTCCCCATGCTCGTGACTTTTGGCTTTTTGTCATTTTCGATCCACTTTCGCTCTCTTTTGTTCGACTTTCGCTCCCGAGGTCAATTCCACCTGTTAAAACCTGAAACATACTAAAACATGCACAAACCTAGGTAAAATCAAACTTCAGACTATGTAAACGTTTCAAACGCCACAAGAAAATGGGGTGTAAACATGTGTAATTAAGCATGCATCTAGCGTTACAAGCAAAAAAGGGGAGAAAATGGGCAAGATCATAGTTTAAGGATGCAAGTTCTCGACCGAGAAGTTGAGGTCAAAGGACAGAAAGTTTTGAT